AACAGGAGAGGGATTTTTGTAACAAAATAAAATCCTATTAGAAATAACACAAAGCTTCTAGAAATTGTGTGTGTGGTTGGGTGGACTTATGGGTGCGTGTGCACAGTCACGTGCGTGCATACATGTGCACATGTATGCAGGGTTTTAAACTTCTGAAATGTTTTCCTGTTTGTGTTTTTAAACTTCTGAAATATCCTCCTGCTTGTGTTTTTCCTTTCTAGCATGTTAAAGTTTTCTGTGTATGTCGTATACCGTGGTATGTATGTGAGAGCATGTAGGTGCCCTTGGATGGTGGGAAGAGAGATTCCCAGAACCGGAGTTATAGGCAGTTTGTGAGCCACTTTGTGGGTCCTGGGAATCGAACCCAGGCCCTCCATCAGAGCAGGGTATGCTCTTTACTGCTAAACTTTCTCTTTAGCCCCTGAGGACATTTTCTAATTTCCTTTTTCCGGTTCTAGGCTGCTTCAAATAGGTTATTTATTTTTTTCTTTGTAGTTTACTGGACTATCCTACGTTTTAGTAATTGTCCTCTAACCCTGAAAATTGAAGTACCTAACCAGAGTGTGGTCTTATACACATGTGATCCCAGCATTCCAGAGGCTGAAGGATGATTACAAGTTCAAGGCCAGCTTTGGGACCCTGGTCTCTCTCTCTCTCTCTCTCTCTCTCTCTCTCTCTCTCTCTCTCTCTCTCTCTCTCTCTCTCTCTCTCTCTCTCTCCCCCCCCTCTCTCTCTCCCTTTGCATAAGTTCGTTGATACTTGGCATCAAGGCTGGTCCTGTCTCCTGTGTGGAGTCAGGGGCATCACAGTGGGGAGCTGTAGCATCTCTGTGGTCTGCTGAGGTAAAAAGATGGCATGGCAGTGACTACGGTTCTGCTGGTGACAGTGGCGTATCCGGAGTCTGTAGATGCGAGTTGCTGGGAGAAAGCTTCCAGGAGGGGAAACTGCGAAAGCAGGTGTCTGCTTGGGCTGTGATAGCCCAACACAGAGCCCCAAGTTCACACTGCTGTTAGCTTCCCTCCCTCTGCAGAGTGCACAGCACGTCCTCTTGTCCTTCCTCCTCCAGAGTCAGCCATTGGGACAGCATCAGAAGTATTTAAAATGACTAACGAAAAGGCATCTTTTCATTAAGTCAGTCTACTTGTAATTACGTTTCATTATAATTGGTTTAAGTAATAACATTTTTTTGGAGACAGTACTTCTGAAAGAGGTACAGAGTTCATTTTGGCAAAAATAAAAAGCCTCGCTGGTAGCATGTCATAATCTCCACATGGAGGCTGGCAGATACTAAAAAAAATTTTTTTAAAGCCAGACATAATCACAGGGCAAGCCCTAAACAAAAGAGAGCCTTAATGTGATTTAAATACCGTGACTGAGTTGCAGTCAGCGTCAGCCTGGACCGAGTTGAATGTGACATCATCCTGTATGGAAATATATTCTAGCAAAAGACTACTACGGCCACCATCTGTTCCCACATCTCGCCGACTGGCCCGTCCCCCAGTGGGATGCAGCAAATACGTTTAAACATAAGCACATCTTCCTCTCACTACAAAGTGTGAGTATCACCCCAGTGTTGTGAAGACTTTGTTTCAGGAACTATTAAGACAGCTGGCAAAAAAAAAAAAAAAAAGAGAGAGAGAGAGAGAGACTTCTGATAGACCTGTGAGCATTCACTGGTCTTACATGTGCTTTAAAAATTGTCCTTTATGAGGTAAAATATAGAAGAAAGGTTTATTTCAGTCTTTGGTTCACTGCGACAACTCCCTGAGAACAGTGCCAAGACTGTTGCCAAACGCCTCAACAGTGACAGCCGTAGTACCCGGTCTCTCGGTCCCTGAGGTGGAGTCTGCAGGGGCTTCCTTCAGTTACCCTGACGCACTGCTCTTCAGAGGCAGTGGTGCCATCGGCTGCACGGAAAGTACTCTTCCCTCAGCTCTGATCTTGCCCTTTGTCAGACTGCTAAATAACTCACTGACTGCTGGAAGGAAGGAAACCGTACTATCTATCTATTATTTAGGAAGCACCCCTCGTCTGCAGATCCCTAGTTAGTCCTAAAGAAGTCTTTTGAAGGTCTGTGGAACTCTTCCTGACAAGACAGGAGCCTCAGAAGTAGTATGTGCACACTGTGGGGGAAGAGATTAACCAATTAATTTTATTGTATGAGGTTGTATGAAACTGACCCTTTATGATAGGGTCTTATTTGGGAGCTGAGCTGCAATTAATAGGAGCAAAGGAATATATAAATCACATTTTTGCAGCAGACTCAGTTATAAGAAGTAAGACAAAACAAAACAAAAAAGTTTTATTGCCATTTACTTTCTATAAATTGTTGATTAGGAAACAGCAGCAATGGGGCTCATAGCCAATGAAGTAACAGGACAGTGTCCTGAAGAAAGCCTCCATAAGCCATAAGCTTTGGCACTACAGGCGTGGATAACTTTCCTCATCTTCTGTGTGAACAGAATTAACCCAAACAACTGGGGTCAAAGATAACAAGACCGATGAGGTAAATGGAGATGGCAAAAGAATATCTTCATGCAACGTCACTTCTTGGCCATGGGGACCACGGCCATCGGTGTAGGGAGCAAAAATCACAATTCATTTGAAATTCAAGAGCAGCAGACTGGGTAATAGCAGTTTTGAATAAATCCTTGGCCAGCTGAATACTAGCCCCTAGGCTTCTGCCATGAGTACAAACCCCACTCATGTGAAGGGCATTGTGCAGAAGATGGTGGCCAGCTGTTCTCTACCGAGTTGAAACAATAAGAACTAGATGTCCTGTTTTTATCAAGGATTTGGACCAAGGATGGGAAGACTATTAGTGACTGAACTACTAAGTTCCCGTGGAACCTTTTAAAATCTACCCTTTAAAACACATAGGTAAGTTACACAGGAATGAAAATCTGTAGCGTGGATAGTCAGTACAGACACCACATTAGAGCGGAGTAAGGGGAAGCATGTAGCGTCAGCCGAAGACTAGCATTTAGCTGACTAACTTCTCAGGAAGCTGCCTTCAGAGAGGAGCTGAGTCTTCATTTTTGGCTTTCTTGGTTGGCACGATTTTGAATTACATCTAGTTCTCATTGGCGTCTGTCCACAGTTTCCGAGCAACTGCTTCCTGCAGAGTACTGCTAAACAAACACTTGGCATCAACAGAATTTGTTTTTGAGAATTATCATTTCCCCTCCTCTTCCAACTTCTCCTGTGCCCTCCCCCAGCCCCTCCCAAACGGAGGATCTCTTCATTTTGATAATTGTTACACAGACCCCCTCGTGTAACTATAAACACGACCCGCCGAGTCTGCTGGTACTGCTCGTCTGTGTGTCTGTTTAGGGATGACCACTTGGTATTGGATAACTAGGTAGGGGACTCGTCCCTGAGAAAGCAGATTCTCCTCCCTCTCTGGGCGATCACTAATTGCCTGTAGCACTTCCCTTAAAGGCAGCACCTTGTGAGATTTCTCCCATCCGCGTTGGCATGTCAACTGGTGGTGTCATCCTTTAGGTCAGCCATGTTGTTAGGTTTCACGGGTGCCGCTCTCCTGTCACATGTAAGACACACCCTCTTGCTGGAGACTCCCTGACCATCTTTCTACCTCCTTCTCCACAATGTTCCCTGAGCCCTAAGTGTAGGGTTTGTGTTGTGGATGTGTCCCTGGGGGAGGGGCACCCCGTGGTCACTTCTGACTTTCTGTAATGGTCTCCCCCTACTGCACAGAACAGCCTCTTTTACCAGGGGTGAGAACTGCAGATTTCACTCTTCTTTACTGGATGTCTCCCCTAAACTATGCTTTTCAGAAAAAGTCTGCTTCGGGGCCAACAACTGCAAGCGATGAGAGGCAGTGCCAAGGGTGTGGCCTTGAGGGCTTGGGTCCTCTGGATGTTGGAGAGCTAGAATGCCCCAGCAGGGGCAGTTTCTGCTGCTGTGGATCCAGGGAGAGACTTGTGGTGTATTAGATTGGAATTTTGGGATATCACACAAGCAATCTATTGCCCTCTTCTACCTTAAGAATCACTAATTCATTGGAGTGGTGGTGGCGCATGCCTTGAATCCCAGCACTTGGGAGGCAGAGGCAGGCGGATCTCTGTGAGTTCGAGGCCAGCCTGGTCTACAGAGCGAGTTCCAGGACAGCCTCCAAAACAACACAGAGAAACCCTGTCTAAAGAATCACTAATCTGATACTAGTGATATCAGGAGACTTCAGCCCTGTTAAGTGTTGTGCTAGAAAAGTTTTAATGTGTGGTTTCCCTTCTGCTGCTCTGTTGTGGTTACGGGCACCTGGCTTGCTGAGCTTGTCAACTTTAGTAGTCTAAATTCTCTCACTGTGCCTTGCCGAAAACTCCAAAAGTGAAAACACAGGAGGTCTCTCTCTCTCTGGGAGTCGGGAAGTTGTGCAGGCTCAGCTCCCACTGCTGTGGCTGGCCAGCGTCCCTTGTCACGTGCTCACAGGGCACCAGATTCGAGAAGGACCAACATCAGCAGCTGCTGTCCACACCAAGGGTGACTTCTCCTTTGTCACGAGCATTCTTCCCGCCAGCCTGGTCCCAGAGCCGCGTCAGTCCCAAAGGAACACGCAGGATGCTACATTAATTATGAAGCTGTTGGCTGTTTGCTATGGTTTCTTGTTGTCTAGCTCTGACTTATTAACCCATAACTGGGAATCTGAGTATTTCCGCGTGGTCTTCTCTTATGGGAGAAAGGGTCCGGACCTCTTACTCCTCTCGAGTCCTGCATGGTAACTCACTGTGCCTCTGTTTCCCAGAATCCTCCTTGACTCCTAGTCCCACCTATCTTGCTTCCCTATTGGCCAACTGTGCTTTATTCATCAACCAATAAGACGACACATACACAGAAGACCATCCCCCATCGGTCCTTCATGCCTCGTGACAAAACTGCAAATACAAATCAGGTGCATGACTCCTGAGAGGTTTGCTCTAAACCCTAAAAGCTGTGTTGAGGCCCTGAATAAAAGCTTGTCTGGAAACACGTTTAATGGCCAGTTGGGAATGTTTATTTTTAGCATGGTAGAGCTAGTTGTTGGCTTACAGTTCACTCCATACTGTCATTCTTAAACCTGCACATAGCCTCGGGACTACAGAGGTGTATCTTACAACTTCCCTAATGCTGGAATGCCCAAATGGCTTGAGCTACCTGCAAATCATTCATACAAGAACTGGAATTTCCAGTTATCTTTTCCATTGTCTTCCTTCCCAAAAGCAACTAGGGGAGGATAGAGTTTGTTTGATCTCACAGCTTGAAGTCAGTGCAGAGGAGTCATAGCTGGAACTCATGACAACAACTGATGCAGAGGCCATGGCTTGATCAGCTACTTTCTTACACCCCAGGACCATGGGCCCGGGGTGCTGCCCCCCTCTGTAGGATGGACCCACCCACATTCCCAGTTGAGAAAGTGTGTTACAGGCTTGCCCACAAGCTAGTCTGGTGGGAGACTTTTCTTAATGGAGATCCCTTCTTTTGAAATGACTATCCTGTGTCAAGTTACAGAAAACTAGCAGGCAGCATGCATTTACTTCTGAACTCTAGCTGTCTGTATTTTGACAAAACCACTCAGTTCCCTGAACTTTAGAAGGGGAAAGCAATGGATTTAGAGAACACAGTCACCACGGAATCTATATCGATAAGTTACTGATAATGTTGGTGGTAATACATTGCCACATCTAACAATCCTTGGGTGACACTGTAAAGTCAGGAGAAAGGCTTAGGAGAACAGGGGTTCTTGAGTCCAGCGCCAACTCCTACTGTGGATTCTCATCTGTGTTCTATGAATAGCAGCAATGTCAACCAGACAGACCCTACCAGTGTTCAGACGTTTTCATGCAGGAAGTGAATGGCCAGTGCTTCCTGTTGATGAGGTGCATTTGACTCAGGCTGGGTGGGTGTTAGAGACACACATTAGACTACAGGAAATTCGCTTTCTCGCTCACAAAGCATTGATGCCCAAATAAAATCACTATCCTGGTCCACTTAAAATGTTGGTGTTAGGTTTGGGTGATTTTATTCACTCTTTGGTTCCTGGTGTCAGGGGTTGTACTGACGACCTCAGTGTCCTCGATGCTTGTCCTCTCTTGGCCATCAGTGGACACTGTTAAGAGCTCTGTGCACGCCTGGGCTGGAGAGAAGGCTCAGCGGTTAAGAGTACTTCCTGCTTATATACGGCGCCTCACAACCACCTGTAACTCCACTTCCCTTGGATCCAATGCCCCATTCTGGACGGCAAGCACTCTGCTTTCCTACGTGGCATCACGCGGGCAAACACAAATAACTTTTAGGTCACACAAAGGCGTCCCCTCCCTGCAGGTGTTCCCCAGCAAGCAGTTACCCCCATCCTATAACAAGGTCAAGTGGGCCACTGCCAGGGTAAGCAGGTGTAGGTGTATACTTTCCAAACACACAGCAGCTGAAGCTGGAGCTGTAATTCTGTTTAAAAATGGACGCCAGAGGAAAAAAAGCATGGTTGGGTGTAGAACCACCAGGTGGCGGTATGTGTGGACTAAAAGCGTTTATTCCCTCTGCAGCATGGGTGTTCCTTACCTTACTTCACAAAAGATAGGTCTTCTTGTTTTTGGCATCTGTGCGTGCGCTCTCTCTCTCTCTCTCTCTCTCTCTCTCTCTCTCTCTCTCTCTCTCTCTCTCTCTCTCTCTCTCTCTCATATATATAGAGGCTCAAGTTGCTGTACACAGTGTCTTTTTCAATCTTTCCACTGTGTTGAGGCCGTGTCTCTTACTGGACCTGGAGTTTGCCAATGCTGTCCGGTCTAGCCCGCCAGCCTGCCCTGAGGCTGCTGTCTGTGCATCCTGAGTTCACAGGTGGCCACCACCCTGCTTTTCTGTGGGTTCTGGGGGTCCATATTCTTCACACTTGCAGCCTAGCACTAGAGCTATCTCCCAAGCCCACAGAGGATACTTCCTTAGACGGCTTGAGGGTGAATGAAGTCACTGCAGACTTAGCAAGCATGATCTGGAACATGGCTGGTTCTTTTCAGAAACTAAGGTATTGTAGATGGATTTCCAATAGAGACTGAAATAACCATTAAACTGCCATAGGGAAAGAGGCTAGGGACGACCTTAATGAAAAAAAGATCAAACTGGTCTATTCATTACCGCTTCCTTGTTCTAACAAAGTCCCCGACTGAAAAGCAGCTTCAGGGAGGAAGGGTTTACTCCATCTTACAGTTTGAGGTTGCAGCTCACCATGGCGGGGAAGACTGAGGGAGGCTGGTCACCTGCTGTCCGCAGCCGGGAAGCGACGGGAACAAATGCTGTACTGAGCTCGCTTTCTTCTTTCCGTTCAGAACCGGACCCCGCCTGCCTCATGCGCACATCCAGAGGTGCGTGCCCACGCTTACTCTAGACCCAGGCAGCTGGTCCTGAAGATTGGCCTCCCAGGATGAGAAGACCACAGAGGATGCACGCAGAGTTACGCAGCAATCGAAGGTAAGTTGTGTGCTTTCATCCTGTGAACAAGTGAGTAAAACATGGGTAGTCAGTCCTCAGAAGGTCAAGTGCAGGGGACCCACTGAGCTCACGAGAGAAAAGCAGGGTGTGCTGGCTGGCGCACTCCCGTAATGCCAGAGCTAGGGAAGCGGAGGAGATGGATCTCTGTAAATCTGAGGCCAGTCAACGTTACAGAGACAGCAAGGCCCTGTCTCTCAAAACAAAACAAGCAAAAAAAACAAAAAACAAAAAAAAAAAACGTCACCACCAGAGGCTGGAGAGGTGGCTGTACAGTTGAGAGCCCGTGTTGCTCTCGCAGAGGACCCGGGTTTGGTTCCTAACACTCATACAGTGGCTCACAACCATCCATAGCTCCAGTTCCAGGGAACCCAATGCCCTCTTGTGACTTCTGTGGGCACCAGGCACATGCATGGTGCCCATATATAATATGCAGGCGAAACACTTTGTGTGTGTGTGTGTGTGTGTGTGTAAAACTCCAACTTTGTTAGCCATTAGGGAAATGCAAATCAAAACTACTTTGAGATTCTGTTTCACCCTAGAGAAAATGACTCCCATTAAGAAAACAAACAGTAACCAATATTGGTAATAAAAAACAGAACCTTCATAGACTGCTAGTGGAAGGTCCTTCAGCAAGTATAGAAATTAAACACACACACACACACACTCACACACATACACACACACATACATACCACACACACACACACACACACACACACACACACACACACAAATAACAACAACAACAAAACAGAACCCCTGACTTAGGGTTTCTACTGCTGTGAAGAGACACCATGACCACAGCAGCTCTTATAAAGGAAAAACATTCAATTGGGGCTGGCCTACAGCTTCAGAGGTCTGGCCCATTGTTGTCATGGTGGTACACAGACAGACACAGTGCGGGAGAAGGAACTGAGAGCTCTACATCTTGATCCACACAGCAGGACGTGACCTGTGTCCTCCACTAGGCATAGCTTGGGCATACATGAGGCCTCAAAGCCCAGGTGGATGCTTATCTTTCCCGCCTGCCAGTTCCCAAATAACCACTCAGAGGCTTATCAGTTACATTTGTTTGGCCAATGGCTCAGGCATATTACTGATTAGCTCTCACATTTAAATCAACCCATTTCTATTGATCTGAGTATCACCACATGGACTTGGCTTACCGGTAATGTTCTGGCATCTTACCCCTTTGGTGGTTACATGGCATCTCCCCAACTCTGCCTACTTTTTCTCCATATCTGTTTGGATTTTCCGCCTGGTTCTGTTCTCCCTGGCCATTGGTCAAATCAGCCTTATTTATCAACCAATAAAAGCGACACATGTTCTCAGCATACAGAAGGACATCCCATATCATTCCTCCAACAAGGCCGCACCTCCTAGTAATGCCACTCCCTGTGGGCTGAGCTATGAGTATATGGGTGCCATTCCTATTCAGACCACCACAGCCCCTAGAGACAGAAAACCATGCCAACCCCATCACTTCTGCTATATTGTCCAAGTAATCTAAGAACACCACAGTGACTCCTGCACATTCTTATTACGGCAGACAATATCAAAGCTTAGGTGTCCACCAGTAGACGAATAGGTTAAGAAAATATGGAGTGTGTGTGTGTGTGTGTGTGCGCGTGTGTGGTGGACTTTTATTCTGCCACAACAAAGAAAGAAATGATGTCATTAGTTAGGAGATGAATGGGACTGAAGTCCATTCTGTCATATGAAATAAGGCAGATACCAGGTGCTCCTCCAGGTAGCATGTGCGTACACATGAAGTGTGTGTGTTGAGAGAAACTCATGGAAAAAGAGATAATGGGAGTGAGTGTGGCCAGAGTACATGATAGACTTGAATTAAAATGTCATTATGAAACCTGTTTTTACAATAAATGCATACTATTTTTTTTTAATCTCAAAAACCCCAGAAGCTTGGAACGTGTGAAGGAAAAAGGGAAATAAGAAGGGAAGCAGAGGACAGGACTGCTCCTAGGTGAGGCGGAGGAGAAAGTTTACTGTAGAGGAAAGGGAGACGAAGCCAGGGAGAGAGGCATCTGGGAGACTCCAGAGTGGTCCCGACCCTGAGACGGGGAGACAGGGGAAGCAGGTACAGCAGCCAGGAAGCCAAAGGTACAAAGCGGGGCAGACCACCAAAATGTCTCCATTACATGGGGAAGAGCCTCTGGGGCAAGGGCTGGGTAGGGGGCCGGGTCTGCACTGAGGGATGATGGGAGAGCAGCTTTGAAACTTAGCGGTGTAAGACCACAGTCAGTCAACCCTTGACTTAATAGTGGTAGAATGGTGGGAAGACATTCAAAATTTTAAAAAATAAATAAATCAAAAATTCAATGCAGGGTGGCTGGAGACGTGGCTCAGCAGTTAGGAGACTTGCCACTCCTGCAGGGGACCCGTGTTTGGTTCCCAGCACCCACACAGCAGCTCAGAGTGGATGGTGACCCCACTCCCAAGATCTGTGACTCATTCTTCTTCCCTTCCTCGGTCCCTGCACGCAGGCAGTGTACATATATATATGCAGACAAAACACTCAAACATGTGAAATAAAAATGTTTTTTTTTATCTTAAAAAACAAAAATAATGTTTTTAAGCCAGTGCAGTGCTAACATAATGGCTGTGGTGGTTTGAAGGGAAACGACCTCTACAGGAAGTGGCACTATTAGGAGGTGTGGCTTTATTGGGGTAGATGCAGCCTCGTTAGAGGGAGCACGTCACTGTGGGGGTGGGGCTTTGAGGTCTCACATGCTCAACCCACGCCCGGTGGAGACAGGCTACTTCCTGTTGGCTCAGGAAGATGTAAGAACTCAGCTCCTTCTCCAGCGCCGCGTCTGCCTGCGTGCTGCCATGCTCCCCGCCATGATGATGATGGATCAAACCCGTGGACTGTAAACGAACCCCCCCCCCCCATGAAATGTTTTCCTTTAAAAAGAGCTGCCGGGGTCGCGTTGTCTCTGCACAGCAATAGAAACCCTAACTAAGACAAAGGCCTCGTGGGTAGACGCGCTTGCCCCTCAAAGCCTGGCCGCCTGCATTGGATTCCTGAACCCTTTGTCAAGGTGGCGTGACAGAACCAACTCCACAAAGTTGTCCTCTGCCCCCCCCACTTGCACTGTGGGCACGTGTACGCGCACATACACCACGAGTACACGCAACGATAGTAACTGTAAGGAAAACAAAAACCAAACCTATATAGTCAACGCATTAACCTCAAATGGTATCACCTTTACTTCAGATTACTTACTCATAGGCCTGGAGAGATGGCTCAGCGGTCAAGAGCACCGGCTGCTCTTCCGGAGGTCCTGAGTTCAATTCCCAGCAACCACATGGTGGCTCACAGCCGTCTGTAATGGATTTGACGCCCTCTTCTGGCATGCAGCCGTGCATGTATATGCACAACATACATTTATTATGTATACAGAGTTCGCATACATAATAGATACATCTTTTAAAAAGTTACTACCCATATACCCAGGAATGACCTGAGAAAGTTTAGAAAGAAAGCGAATTTCCTATTAACCAAAAAGGAATTTGTCCCCCACACAGTGTTGCCAGATTTAAGGGTCTGGAGAAAGCTGACTACAGAAAGGGTCAGCAAAGTCGCATGCTAGTGCCAGCCCTCTCCTGTGTCGCCAGGCACGGGATGGCATCCACACTCCTCCACCACCTCACAGCTGTGACCTTTGCCTGGGCAGGCCATGGGCATGCTACTCCTCCCAGGGGTCACCCGTAGCTGCTAGGTCACATGAGACTGTGGGGAGCTGATGGAGTTCTCCATGAACGGGCATTGTTGACACGGGCTCAGCCACGCCAAAGGCCCTAATGCCCCAGGCCCATGGAAATGACATGGGCCTTTTCCTTGTCCCAGTAGGAGCGTTGGAGTGAGTGTACAGAAAGTATCAAGCAGGGTCTCCTCCTCTCGGAATGCTGCAGCCTGACACTGCTCCCCGACAGAGACCTTCCGAGGCCTGCTAATCGCCTGCCAGCTTTCCAGCAGTAAATGCGCCCTCCTTGGCTCAGATGCGTACAACAACCGTGCCGGGTGTCTGCATTGCCGCTGGTGTTGGTACATCTACACCAGAGCGCACAGCCTACCAGATGCCAGCTTTATTTTCTTTTTCGAGACAGGGTTTCTCTGTGGCTTTGGAGGCTGTCCTGGAACTAGCTCTTGTAGACCAGATTGGTCTCGAACTCACAGAGATCTGCCTGCCAACTCCCGGCCAGATCCCAGCTCTTAAGTATGTGTATCTGATGTTCCATCTCTCTCTGCCTCCCCTGTTAGGTCAGCCCTAAGCAGTAGTGTGACCAATTTTCTGTTATCTACCAGCAGATATTAAAAGGCCACAGAAAACAACAAAAATAGTGACTTTGGATTAATAGTTTAGCGTTTGAAAAGAATGTTAGATAAAATTATACCATTTCTGGGCTGGGGAGAGAGAGCAGTCGGGAGGAGTACTTGCAAGCATGAGGATCTGAGTTCAAATCCCGAGAACCGGAGTAAAAAGCTGCACGTGTTTGCACTCCTGCTGCCAGTTTAGGCCCATGCCTAGTGAGGAGATCTAGAGATCAAGGTTGAATCCCTTCCCTGGAGTCATCACTAATTGGACAGAGAGTCAAGGTTCAAATGCAAGTGAAAGAAGACCTGTGCCCTGGCTTCACTCGTGCCTGGATTGATGCCCAGTGCTGTTTGTTACAATCTTACTTCCGCCCGTAACTCTTACTCAGTCTAATCCCTCTGCTTCCAGTTTCATTCTGTTCACAGTAGCCACAAAAACCCTGTATTTAGAACACCTCTTCTAATGTAAAACAAAGTGCATTGTAAGTGCTTAGAAAACTGGCGAATTTACTTCATAAGAACACTGAGACTCCTGCCTTTCTAAAGTCAACACAAAGAAAGTGCACTCACAATCAACACTGGGGGCAGGGGAGCCCTTTTCAATAAGTGCTACCGGCAAAACTGGGCACCCTCCTGTAGGAGAGTGGAGTTCCACCCATATCCTCATCCTGCACACGCACCAAGTTCACAATGAACCAGATATTGGGGTCATAGGAACAGGCAAATTCCCGAGTCACAGGCAGGAGTTGGCCCCAAGTGGACTGTGCGAAATTTGAAACCTCTGCACAGAAACAGATAAGCAGGCGGCCTGCAGGTGGGCCAGTTTCCATAACACATAAAGAGCTGCAGAAATCAAACAACAAAGAAACGAAGCCTCCAGTCAGTGCGTGGGTCAGAGATCTGAACAGTTCTTGGAAGGTGGAATGCAGATGGCCAACGTGCGTCTAAAAGTCTCCAACATCTTTACTCAGCAGAGACATGCAGATTAAAACTACTGTGAGACTCCATCTCATCCCAGTAAGGATGGCCACTAAGGGAACAAATGACAACACTTGCTGGCAAGGACGAGAGAGAGAGAGAGAGAGAGAGAGAGAGAGAGAGAGAGAGAGAGAGAGAGAGAGAGAGAGAGAGAGAGAGAGAGAGAGAAGAGAGAGAGAGAGAGAGAGAGAGAGAGAGAGAGAGAGAGAGAGAGAGAGAGAGAGAGAGAGAGAGAGAGAGTGCTAGTGCTATCTATGGAAATTAGTCTGAGGGTTCCTCAAAAATAAACAAAAAAAATCAAGTTACCACGTAACTCAGCTATGACTCCTGGGCGCGCACCAGAAGGACTCCACATTCTACTATGCATGACCATGTTTGCCTATGCTCATCTTAAATTCATCTCGGGTTTCTATGATCAGATATCCTGACCAAAAGCTTACAGTTCTGGCTTCCGGTCCAATCGTAGCGGAGAGCTCACAGTAGCAGGAACCTGAGAGAACATTGCAACCAAAGCCACAACGAGGAATAAGTGACATGTGCGTGCTGTGTGGTGAGCATGCGCTGTTCTCACAGTTCAGGATCCCCTGCCCGGGGGTGGGGGGGATGGAGGGATGGGGGGTGGAGCCACCCGCAACGGGCAGTTCTCCTGCTTCCGTTAACATAGTCGGCATAACCCTCCACAGACGCGCCACAGGCCAACGTGATGTCCTCCCAAGTGATTTTACGTGGTTTCAACCTTCAGAGTAAGCATCACGTGACTCTTTTCATAATAGCCAGGAGATGAAATCAGCCCTATGTCCATCAAGGGATAAATGGATAATGAAAAGGTGGTACATATATACAATGGAATTTTTTTATTCAGTTATAAAGAAAAATGAAAAAAATTATAATCTGAGGTTAGTTTACATGGAACTGGAAAACCTTTTTTTAAGCAAGGTAATACAAAGACTACATGTTCTCGCACATGTGGATCCCAGCCTCTGACTGTTAAGTGTCCAGGTGTTAGAAAACAGGTACACGGGCCCGGAAATTAGAAGGCCCGTGTGAGCGGACAAGACAGACTGCCAAGGAGTGGATAAGACAATGGGGCAAAGAAGGGTGGAAAAATAAAACCAGAAAGGGGGCAGGGGGAGGGGAACCAACTAAAATGAAATATATATATATATATATGTACGTATATATACATATATAAACTATGAAAGTCTGCTTCAGTTTTCAGTTAGTTGTAAGATAAATTAGATAGGTAGATAGATGACACATAGATAGATAGATAGATAGATAGATAGATAGATAATAAACAAATAAAAATTCTAAGCCACGTTTGGAAACACACTCCTGTAATCCTAGCACAGTCCCTAGAAGGACTGGGAATTTGAGGCCAGCATAGGTGACATAGTGACACCTTGTCAAAGAAAAAGAAAAGAAAAAGGGCACCACACCGTCTTAGAGACAGTCACATATTAAAGAAAAAAAAAAAAGAAGAGAAAACTCGAATCCAGAATAATAGGGAACTCTTACAACTAACTCAAAAATAAAGTGTTTAATTAAAATGTGCAAAATGTGACTAGCTACTTTACCAGAAAAGATTTAAAGGGCCAATTGGCATGTGAAATAGTAACAGTATCATCATCAGTCGCCGGGGAAATGCAAATTAAAACCACCATCTTATTCCAATTATCTAGTGTTATGTGACAAACCAGCCTAAAAAGTGGCAGCTTAAGATGGCAATATGTTTTCTACACGTATCTCTGCCAACTGGGATGGCCTCGGGAAGAACTCACCTCTGCCTCACTTGGCACTAGCTCGGGTCTCTTGGAGTCGGGGCTGGGACTGTCTGCAGACCCATTTGCTCCACTTGGCAGTTGGTGGTAGCTGTTGGCTGGGTTGATAGCTAAAACTGAACGTTTTTACATCACATCTCCAAAACCCAAGTTACCCTCAACACTGTTAGGTTTCAAGAGCCAAGCACCGTGAGAATCAGCATTCCTTCCGGCCTTGGTGGCACACGCCTTTAATCCCAGTGCTTGGGAGGCAGAGGCAGGTGGATCTCTGTGAGTTCGAGGCCAGCCTGGTCTACAGAGCGAGTTCCAGGACAGCCAGGGCTACACAGAGAAACCCAGTCTCAAAAATGAATAATAACAACAACGATAGTAAAGGGAGGAAGAAAATGTCGTAAGGAATGCGCCAAGACTGGTCCATATTCAGAAGAAGGGGGACCACATCAAACCATCGAAATCAACCACATTCGAGAGTTACTTGTTCCCAAACGCACTTACTCTTCCCCCACACCTCCCCTGAAACTACTATAAATGTCAGCCTCAGGGTCAGGCCCCAAGACAAGAATTTACCACCTGGACCGGATGCCAAGGCACAGAGCCCTCCCAACAGCTCCCCAGAAACAAGCCACCCGAGGACATACGAACTGGGACTGCCTTTCTCCCCCCTCGCCATCGTACAGGTATCGGGCAGGACGACACCCCGGAAGAGGAAAGCAGAAGCCCCAGAAGAGCCCTTGTCCCGTCCACCGTGAAACCCAGCGTGAACCAGGCCCCAGATTAGAGACAAGGGATGCTAGGTGGGAATTATAGCTCCTGGCTGCTCCTGGGCTCCTCCTCGTCTTCTCTCGGACTCGAGGTTCATTACCCCCTTGCACGCACAGAGGTGGTGAGTGTGACAGTTAATACTGTCCGGCTGGCAGGCTCTAAAGTGACCCGGGAGACGGGATTATCTAGATTAGATGAAGAAGGCGGGAAGAGAGGGAGCCGCTATCCTTGTCTGCTTCCAGACTGGTCCTGCCCGGAAGCCACATGGCGGGATGCTTGACCCCCACCCGCACTCCCCGCCTCCAGGGAAGGCTTCTTCACCGGGAAGGGCTGCACCCACAACCTGTGAGCTGAGAAAGCCCTCCCTCCCTTGAATTTGCTTCATTCGGGATGTTTCATAAGTGAGCAAGCAGAACATGTTTCTGGGGCTGCTCCCTGTCCTTGGAGCTGGGGCTAGAGACGGTTGTGAGCTGCCCGGTGCGGTGCTGGTCACTGAACCCGGGTCCTCTGGAGGAGCAGCCCAGGGCTCTGAACGGCTGAGCGCTCTCTCCAGCCCCCTGAGGCAGAAGGTGTAACTGGGTGTGGAAGTCGTGCCTCACCGTAAACTAAGCACAATCATAAACACCATTCAGCAAAGGCAGGCGAGCTTTTGTTCCAGATGTTTAAGAAAACCTCGGTGCTGACGACGGGAGCAAGCTTTTTGTTGGCTGTCTTTGGGGTCCCCAGCCCTGAGACAACAACATGGGGGCTTCTGATCATGAAAGCTCTGCCTGCAACTTAGGCGTCTTCCTGCGTAGCTCTTATAACTTTTTTTTTTTTGGTTTTTTTACGAGACAGGGTTTCTCTGTTTTGTAGGCTGTCGGTCTAGCCCGGCCTCGAACTCACAGAGATCCGCCTGCCTCTGCCTCCCGAGTGCTGGGATTAAAGGCGTGCGCCACCAACGCCCGGCTGTAGCTCTTACAATGTAACCCATATGTTAATTAGCGTACGTTCTACCCCGTGGCTTTTACCTTTGTCCCATTCTGTGTCTCGGACTCGTTCCGCGTTTGGCTGACTTCTCTGCGGCTCTTCTTCCCAGAGTCCTCTCCGTGCCTGGAAGTCCCACGTAAACTTCCTGTCTCGTTATCGGCCATTTAGCCCTTTATTGAACTAATCAGGAGGCAAAGGCACATCTTCACAGTGTGCAAGAAGATGGTTCCACAACGTCTGGCCACTAAACTAAAGACCATAGTCATTTCCAAGAACGGAGGTGCAGCATCACAGCTTAGTCAGAAACCCACTAAGCTCCAGCTCCCATAGCCAGCAGACTAAGAAAGGGGGACTAGGCCCTCTCACTCACGTTACCCAGCGTGTCCAGTCTCCAGCAGCAAATTTCCAAAGCACTCAAAGAAACTAGACCCGTGCCGCCTGCCTGCTTAAATTACCAACAGGAAATGCCCACAAGAAGCCGGAACATGGAACTTTCCAGACAGAAATTCCATATCAGTTGTTTTAAATATGTTCACAGGTTACTATTTCTAAAGAATTTTTAAAAGGTCTAAAGAATTTTTTAAAGGTCTAAGAACAATGTCTTGGAAACAGAAACAGTGTATTACTGAAGAGAATAACTTAAACACATATAAATTCTATACTTGTAAAGTACAATAGCCAAAACAAAAATCTCACTGAAAGAGCTTCACGATAGAGTTGAGGCAGGAAAGGAATCAGCTAAGAGGTCAGTGGAGGAAGCCGAGGAAGAAAATTTGATTTTAAAAATGATGAAAGGAGCCTCAGAGAGTAAGGGACAAGGCTGAGCACACCACTAAAAGCTTGATGTGAATTCAGAAGGAGAGAGGAAAGACAGAAAGGACAGAACTAATATAAGAAAATTTAACCTCTGCATCTAAAAAATTCAAAAGACTCCAAGTTGTGTAAACCCAAAAAGACACACAAATCACAAACACAAACACCACAGACACAAGAATCACAAACACATCATGTATATACACCATGAACACAAACACCACAGACACAAACATCATGAACACACACATCACAGACAGACATCACAAGCACAGACATCACAGACACACACATCACAAACACATGGACATATCACAAACACACACATCACAGATGCACACATCATGATCCGCATGGCAAAGGTCAAAGAGAAATTCTGAAAGCTGTCAAGCCAAAGTAACTCATCACTGAAAAGCAGCAAGACAAAGGTAAGTTGTTACATACAAGGGATCCCCCAACGCACTAATGTCTGGTATTTCCTCAGAAACAGTGGCAGCCAGGAGCAGTGGGGTGATAATAGCCTAAGAACCCAAATCAAGAATTCTGTAACTGGCAAAATGGGTTAGATTCCCAGTTCTTGTATCAAGCAGCTCACAACTGCCTATAACTACAATTCCAAGGGATCCAACTCCCTCTTATGGCTTCCTTGGGCTCTGATATGTACATGGTATGCATGCATACATACATACACTCATGCATATAGAGTAAATAGATGAATATGAGGCTGAGGAGATGGCTCGGTGACTAAGAGCACTTCCTGCTCTTGTAAAGGACCCAGGTTCAGTTCCCAACACCCACATGATGGCTCGCAAACGCCTTCAACTCCAGTTCCAAAAGATGTCACCCCTCCTGACGTCTATATGTGTGATGTACATATCCTAGCACAGGTTTATACACACGTAAAAAAGTAATAAAGAAAAGGAGGAAACAGGACAATCCTGTATAAACAAAACAGAGATTATATTGCCTTCAGACACTATAGCAGAAGTGCTAAAGGAAGACCTTTAAACAGAACAGATTAAAAAGACGCGATCCAACTGTCCACTGTCCACAGCATGCTCATAGATGCTCTGACAGTAGACTGTGGAAACTAACTAAAATGCATCTGGGGAGCACACACTAATGTCAGAGGTTAAGCTTGAAGATGGAAACCTGTTAAGGGGCAAAGCAGGAGAAGAGGTCAAGTCATCAAGAATTTAGTAACAGTTATGAATATAAACAACATATGGTCATGAGGCAGAAACTGAACAGAACAGAAGGGAGAAATAAACCATTCAAAGTAGTGACCGTACACTGCTAGTACCCCACATTCAAAAATAAATAAAACAGCTAGATAGAACATCAATAAGGGAATGGTGACAGGTCTGTAGAACACTCCACTAAAGCCAAACTTCATGGTGCATGCCTTTAGCCCCAGGACTCAGGAGCACAGGCAAGTGGATCTCCGTGAGTTGGAAGCCAGCCTGGTCTACACAGTGAGTTCTAGACCAGTCAGAGTTACACAATAAGAACCCCTCTAAAAAACAAAAAACAAAAAACAAGCAAACAAAAAGCTACTTTGCTCAACAATGGAATACACATTAATTCTTAAGTGAAAAGAGAGCCTCCTCCAGGATAGATAGACCGCGTGTTAGTTCAGAAAACAGACCTCAACAAACAAAAGCACCAATACAAAGCATGTCCTCTGATGGGGGAATGTCCTTCTGTATATGTTTCTCTTATTGGTTGGTGAATAAAACACTTTGGCCAATAAAGGCAGGAAGATAGGCCGGACTAGGAGATGAGGAGAATTCTGGGAAGGTAGTCAGAGAGAGACCTCGAAGAGACACCATGTAGAGACTGGGAGGATAGGACGTGCCAGGTGCTCTCTGGTGAGATAAGGCCATGTAGAAATACATAGATTAGTTGTTATGTGCTAATAATTAAAAGAGAGCAAGCCAGTAAGAAGCCTAGCCATCGGCCAACAGTTAATCAATACATCTTTGTGTGCTCATTAGGAGTTGAAGAGCAATGGGACCTGGCGGGACGAGAAACTCCAGCAACAGTCCAACAACAACAAAGCAGTAAAATTAGAAGTCACTAACAGAGGACAATTGGGAAATCCCCAAATATGTGACAATCGAGACAACTCCAATAACTCATGGCTCAAAGAATACTGACATGCTTAAAATTAAATTTTAAAAATTGTCCAAACTGTAGGTAAAAGAGAGTGAAGAAGGCTCAGTTAGTGCCATCAGAGATGAGAGTTAGAGAGTACAAAAGACTCAGTACCATCAGAGATGAGAGTGAGTACTGAAGACTCAGTACCATCAGAGATGAAAGTTAGAGAGTGCAGAAGACTCAGTACCATCAGAGATGAGAGTTAGAGAGTACAGAAGACTCAGTGCCATCAGAGATGAGAGAGAGTACTGAAGACTCAGTACCATCAGAGATGAGAGTTAGAGAACACAGAAGACTCAGTGCCATCGGAGATGAGAGAGAGTACAGAAGACTCAGTGCCATCAGAGATGAGAGTTAGAGAGTACAAAAGACTCAGTACCATCAGAGATGAGAGTTAGAGTACAGAAGACTCAGGTAGTGCCATCGGAGATGAGTTAGAGAATACAGAAGACTCAGGTAGTGCCATCGGAGATGAGAGGACGGTCATTGCTACTCATCCTGCTGTAACGGGCACAAGACTGGCGGAGCCATGCCTTGCACAATAGTTGCTTCCGTGAGGGTGTCTGCCTGCCATTCCTCGAGTGATGTTATCCATAATACCCGTCCTTACTGGATAGATCACCTCTCCAGTCAGCTCCTGCTACCTCCTTCATTTTACCTAAAAACAAAACAAAACAAAACAAAAACCAACCTCCCATCTCCCTTTGCACACCCGAAGACCACTTACCATGATGCTTACAGCCCTGTTTCCAGTTGCACTTCTGGATAAATTAAGTATATTTGTTTATGTTAACAATTAGTATTCAAAACAGCTTTCAACAAAGGGAAGGCTAGAACCAGACGGCTTCACTGGCGAGTTCTTTCAAACATTTAAAGGATAATTGATAGCGATCTTCAATCTTAATAAGGAGAAGGAAGAGAAGTACCTGATAACTCATGCTAAAGACATTATTTAAAGAAATCACCCACAAATATCTCTTGCATGTGCATGAAATTACCAGCAAGATACTTGCAAAAACTGAGCAATATATAAGAAAGATTATACACCACGATGGAAAGTGGGTTAAGACTATTTTAAAAAATCAATGTGAGGTGGCAGGGCAAGGAATCGGGCGAATGGATCAATTAAAGAATGTTCCCCTGGCATTTTCCAAACCACACACATCAGAGTGGCTGAAATAAACAGATAAGGAACAGCTGAACTCCCATTGCTGATGAGAATATTAGATAACACAGCCACTTTGTAAAACATTTTGTCGGGGGGCGAGGGGGTGGGGGTGGTGGGGGTGGGGGCTGGAAGCTAGGGAGATGGCTCAGTAGTTAAGAGCACCTGCTCTTCCAGACAACCTGCTGAGCTCAGTTCCCAGCACCCACATGATGGCTCACAACCATCTATAATGAAATCTGGTGCCCTCTTCTGGCATGTAGGCATACATGCAGACAGAACACTGTATACATAATAAATAAATCTTTAAAAAAAAAAACAAAAATAGCACACTTTGTCCAGTTAATTTAAACATCTTACCTCGATCAAGACATCCCATAAGAATCACATTCATAGGACATTAAAGAGGAACAAAACATGTCTGTACAAATTCTGAGTTCGAGTGTACAGTTGGTTTATTCTTTGAAATTCAAAGGTGCAAATCACCTTGATGTCCACTAACACTAACGAATAAACGAATTGTGACTCACACAAACCATGGGCTAGTTATCTGGAAAAAGTAGACTAGTAATACATGAGAAAACAGTAAATTTTCAAACAAGCTGAGCACAGAAACACACACACACACACATACACACACACAGAGACAGAGAGAAAGAGAGAAAAACAGAGACAGAGACAGATAGAGAGACCCCATAAGCTTTAGTCCCAGTTTATTTGAGAGCACAGAAAAGAGAAATCTAATGACATAAAGCCTGTCAATGATTGCCTGGGGTGGCATGGAGCTCATTGATTGCAAAGGATGCAGAGGAAGTTTTCCGGTGACTGAACACTCTGTACCTCGAGTGGGGAAGCAGGACACAGCTTCATCCAGAAACTCACACACGTAGTTAATTGGATATGCTTTGTGTATGAATCACATCTCAATAAAGCCAGGGGGGCCGGGGGATGCCTTTAGTCTTCACTCTTAACCTCCTGATGAAAATCACTGCCATGCGTTCGTTACCTGACTTACAAGCTGCCATCCTTCCGTCTCCCTTCCTTCTGGCCTGTTCCCAACAGTTCAGTGAGGTTACTCCGTTGAAACACATGTTACAGAGGCTGGAGAGGTGACTCAGCCGTAGAGAGCCCCCACTGCTCTCCCGGGGTCCCAAGTTTAGGCAACTCATAGGGACCCGTATTTCCAGATGGGAGGATCCAACGCCCTCTTATGGCCTCTAAAGATACTGCACCCCTGGCACAATAAACGCATTAACACATAAACCTTTAAAAACAGGAAGTCGTATTGCATCATTTATTTGCTCAAAATACAGAATACTGTA